AAAAGATGAGAAGGATATGGAGATGAAGATTAGATAGTGGCCCAGCCTTAAAGGAAAGAATGTATTGGAAGCAGCAGTGGTGCAGGGCTGCCAGGGATGGTTGGGCAGGTCGTATCCAACTCCATTCAGATAGACCCTCCGTGGAAATGATGCTCTGAGGGTTGTGTCACCCTCCACCTGTACAGCTGTGGTGGCAGCTTTGGAAGGGAACTCACAGGGTGAAGGAAAGATTTGGGAACCTAATTATAATAAAGGGACAGTCTTGGAGATCTAGGTGGAAGGAACTAAAAAAAAAGTTTAGTTGAAATCTAGACTCATGTGTACTAGCAGTTGCAGTCTATTTCCCCACTCAGGACTCTGCTTTTGAGGGAGAGAGCAAAGAGAGGGAGATGAAGATGGAGATGAGATGGTGATAGAGATGGGATGGAAATGGAAATGGTGATGGAGATGGGATGTAAATGGAGATGGAGATGGTGATGGAGATGAGATGGAGATGAGATGATGATAGAGATGAGCTGGAGATGAGATAGTGATAGAGATAAGAAGGAGATGGAGATGGTGATGGTGATGGAGATGAGATGGTGATAGAGATAAGAAGGAGATGGTGATGGAGATGGTGATAGAGATGGTGATGGAGAGATAGATAGATGCATACATAGATAGAGATGGAGGGAGAGAGAGATAAAGAGAGTAAGAGACTATAAACCTCTCCTCTATCAAGCATTCCTACCCTCTTGTCTAAGGGGGAAGAGCTCTTGCAGTAACAGCTCTCCTCTCTTAGTTTAGGTTTTCCTCAAAGCAGACCCTAGACAGGAGTTTAGATGCAGCGTTTTATTTGGGTGAGTGGGTAAGAAATGAGATGAGGAAGGAAAGGCAGGCAGTGAAGGGTGTGGTGGTGACAGGTCACCTCTGGGAGTGACTGGGTAATAAGAGTGCTTGCCCAGAGAGCTGCTCTATGAGACTCCACAAGCCCCTCTAGGAGTCTGGAAAACCTACTCAAACTTGTCCCACCAAGACAACAGGAAACTGGGGTATTTACAGACCGACTTCTGTCCCTCCTTGTTTCATTCCCTGGCCAAGCACAGCCCTGAGGCCAGAGAAGGACTTCAGGTGGAGGGACACAAAAGCTGGAAGTGACCTGGAGGATGGGGCCCAGGAGACAGGCTGGGCACTCACAGCGTCTGCTGTGGGCCACCAAGGCCACACACAATGCACGAGAGGAGGAAAAAGAGAAGAAATAATAATAATAATAATAATAATAATAATAATAATAATAATAAATACCAATTCACCCTTTTATTAGCTAATAGCTAGTGAACATTCCTTCTCACCAGACAATGGGCTGAGTGCTTTATACTCATCATCTCATGGAGCCTCATAAAGCAGCTCTCAGGGCCAGTGCTCCTACTCCCCTCATTTCGATGACTCAGTGGAGGGTTAAAGAAGTGAAGTGACTTACCCATGGCCACAGAAGCAGCAAGTGGCAAAGTGAATTGTGTAAACCAGGCCGGTTAGAGAGCAAAGGTGAGATTCTTACAATTGCCTGGCTCAGTGTGTGTGTGTGTGTGTGTTACGTTTGTCAACAAAAGAATAATGGTTCACCCCAGGACAATCACCTAACCCCCCCAGTGGAGACAGAGGAGTATCAGGTGTTCATCCCTAGAACAGGTGTGTGCCTTCCTCAGCGACCCCATTTGACCACTGACCGACAAATGAAGTAGTTTGTCTTACTATTTCTATTCCTAATTGCAAAGATAATTCACCTTCATCATCATCACACACACAAATATATATGAAATTACCCAGTAAAACAAAGAAACTTAAAACTCACAGTTCTGCCGCCACTGTCAGTATCGATTATACATTCTAACTGGGTGTTTCCACCCCCTCCCCCTACCCCCCCAAAGAGTGAAGAATGCAGGTGCATTTGATAAAAGTGAGAAGCTACTTTAGCTGGCTTCTTTGCTTACAATGTATCCTCAATATCTTCTTAAATCTTCCTCACAAATGGGTTTTCAATGGCCATGCGGTATGCCATCATACAGGCATACACTGATCTATTTAACCAACCCCAGATCAATTAGATACTAAAACTGTCTCCAGTTTTTATGATTAAAAAATTCATGAGGAATGCCTCAGAGAAGAAATCTTGTGCACAGTCCTGATTATTTCCATCGGACCATTCTCCAAAGTGCAATTATCAAATTAAATGATTGGCACGATTTTAAGGCTCTTTATATATTTAGCCAAACTCTCCTCCCAAAAGGCTTATCTATTTTTATTCCAACCAGCACTCTACGAGATGTCCTACTTCCTCCTTAGCAATAGGTATCATTGTTTTTAATATATACATTTGCTAAGCCAGTGAATAAAAACTATTTTTAACTTGCATTCCATTGATGAAAGCCTCTTACACATTTATTGAGCATCTACTGTGTTAGTTGCTTAACTGGGCATTTCCATACATATTCTATCCCCTCTCAACGGTCCTTGGAAGCTGGGGGAATGGCGCCTTTTAGTGAAGGAGGAAGCAAGGCTTAGACAATGTAGGTTGCATGCTGAGCTCTGTCACACTCCAGCTGTGTGATCTTGGGGTGTCCCCACCTCCGAGCTCAAGAAGACTAATAACCTGAATCTCTGGAAGTTCTGGTGACCCGACTGCCCCATCACTTGGAGTCCCACACTCTAGTGTTCTGTGGGGACACACAGGCCATTGAACTAGTTTCTCCATTTATTTGGAACAAAGCCCAATGTCATTTCTTTATAATAAATTCACACTTCTCGGGGATTCTTCTACTCGGGAAAAATCCCAGGGGATCTTTGATTCAATGAATAATTTGTAGTCAACATGCTAGTTATTCCTGTTTTAAGGAGATGTGACATTCCTAATAGGGATTTTAAAAACCATTTGCATAACTAATTTACTCACCCATTTGCTGCTCTGTTCTGCCCTGTATGTGTTACATAGGACCAACTCGCTAATCCTAAATTTGTGGGTTTTAAGTAAATATCCACTGATGGTCCATAAAGTCGCATGCTTTGCGACCTCCCAAATACTTGGTTCCGGAAATGAATTCAGAGAAAGAGATCCTTCAGAAGGCCAGGTGTTGGGTGTTCCCTATAGCATGACCGGTTCATTTCTTGGTCAGTTGGAATTCCTGGTGGTTTTTCTTTTCCAATGCTGACACACATTCGGTGAAAGCAAATGCTTCCCCTCCAGGGCTACAGGCCAGTGGGCAGACATATTCGGCTCTATCACGCTCAAGTACAAGGTTCTAAATAGCTTGAAACAAGCAAGAGAGAGCAGATGGGGCAAAAAAAGCCACTGAAAGACAACTCCTTCTTCCTTCCTCTACCTAGTTCCCTTCTATCCCATCAGTAAAAAGAACAAAAAAAAAAAAATGGGTGTTCAAGTCCCTTGTACTTTTTAAGCACATGGTGTTTATTAGGCATTAATTGGCACACAAATATACGAAACGAGTACTTAATTCTCCCCTCCCCCCCTCCCTTAACAACATAAAAAGACAAAATTGCTTGAAGACACTTACATACAAACACACTCACACACTCGCACAGACGTGGACGTACTCAGCCTCACATATTACCCTGTTCTTTTTTATTAGGGTCAGTTAAAAAAAAAAAAGAATTTTTTTTTTAAATCAAGAAAGCAAAGCACATTGGAAAGAGAGGAGAAAAAAAAAAAAGAACGCAAACTTGATTTTTGAGTATCAATAAAATTAAAAGCTCTTGACCAGCTCCCATGCTGGATTTCATGTTATTACTTAATTAGAACTCCTATTTATAAATAAATAGTACCAGTAAAATATTACATCTGAAGAACCCTGCAATAACGCTTTACTTACACACTTTTTTAAACACTGTTTTCTGCTTTCCATAACCACAGTTTGGTGTCGGCATTGGGGCGATTCCGTCGGAGAGAATGACCGATGAGCACGTGTTGCCTCTTTAGAAATCGTGGCTTCGGCTTTGGCGTCCAGTTGGACTGTCGGGAGGTTTGCAGGCTGGGGGCTGGCTTTGTTCTGTAGCAGGAAGAATATGGACTTTGGCTTTCTCGCCACTCTTGTCAGCACGGAGCTTGCCCTTTGCTTATCACAGTTCTGCCTGCGTGTAACCCAGGGCTCTTTAAGTTTTTCAAAGCAAGCTTTCCGGCGGGGATGCTATAGGCCACGTTTTAGCAACAGATGGCTGGGAAGACAGGAGCGCTGAGTGAGATATGATGCCAGGTGAAGCCCAAGGTTATCCTGAACCTCCCCCCCCCCAGGAGGCAAACTGGGCTCCTTGGTGACGGGGAAGGCAGGACCAATCAGAAAAAGCTGGGGACAGAGGGGACCTTTTCAAAAACATCCCATGACAGAGGTAGGTCATTTCTTAGTCAAGGGGAGGGTGGCGAATTTGGCTTTAGGGGTGGCTTAGAGGAAGAGAACTCCTCGGCTACGTACTTTGAACTTGCCTCAGACCTCCCCCAAAGTAAGGGACTGGGTCCCATTAAGAAAATTGAAAGAAAAAAATATATTATTATTTATTATATAACAATGTCAACATTAACAGCAAGACAAGAAAAGACTCCAACTCTGCATTAGGATAACACACTCGATGAGGCAAGACTTGCTGGAGACCAAAAGAAGGAATCTGGGAGGCCCTCCGGAGGTGAATGTGGCCCCTGGACGAGTATGGTGGCTGTGGTGGGAATGGGACTCTTTTTTGTTGTTGTTCTTTTTTTTTTTTTTTTTTAAGTTTTGGGACGAAAAGACAAAGTCACATTTTTGAACTGTGATTTCAGGCTACTGATTAGATCAGAGTCTGGGGAAGGGGGGTCTCAAGCGCAGGCGTAAATGTGGGGTAAAATGAAAAACCTTGTCCGTGGGGTTCTCTTGGCTACTGTCTCTCTCCTGCTCTCTCTCTCTCTATTGTCTCTCTCCTGCTCTCTCTCTCTCTCTCCTCTCACTCTAGCAAATGTCTATTAGGAAGCAGGCCTCACTTTAGCTATTCTCGCTCCACTCTGGCACCATGCCAACCCCATGCACCGAGTGGTACTGGTGTGGGGACAGGGTCCTTGGCACGCCATGGGAGTAGAGGAACTCAGATGGTTGCAGGCCACCAGGGGACTGCAGGCCAGTCTGAGGCCCACACTGTCTGACCACAGGCTGGTGGGCCACAGAGGTCTGGTGCTGGAACATCCCCTCCCCGAGCTGGGGGGAGCCGTGATTGGCGATGCCAGCCAGCCGGGGGACCAGAGGCCCCGAAGTGAAGTGAGCCGAGAAGTGTTGGTAGGGTAGCCTGTCCATGGGCTGCACGGTGGTGACCGTACAGCTGCTGTAGGAAGGCATGCTGGGCCACGTGTTGCAGCTGATGTCCTCCAGGCTGGGCACAGGCTCACTGGGTGGCGCGGAGCTGGCATACATGCAGGCCTGCCGCTGGGCTGACTCTGTCCTGTAGGAGGCACTCAGGCCCTGCTGTTGGGGGTAGCTGGGGCGATAGAACGGGTCTTCTTCGCTGGGCGATGTCTCCATGTAGGGCTTCTTGTAGGGATGGTCTGCGGTGGAGCATTCTTCATCTGCTAAGACAGGAGGAGAGAAACCCATGAGGCCGGGACCAGCCACCCCACAACTCAAGGCAGAGACAGCCATTTGGCTGAAGGCCTGAAGAATCAAGTCTCTTAAGACTGTAAGCCCAGGCCTCCATTCTGATACAAAGGGGTGGACTGTCCTGGGGAGGATCTTGGGCTGTGACGTTCTAAGCAAAGTGAGGCCTTTCTGAACTCATCGTCTTCATCTGCAAAGCATAAAGATTAATAATGGCATTTTTCAACATAGGGAATTGTTGAGAATGAAATGGGAGAATGTGTATTAGTCCAGAACTTGGTACAAGGACACACTCGATAAATAAGAATTATAGTTATGTATTATCTTCCCTCCCCAGCTTGTAAATTCCACAAAGGCAGGGCATTTCCAGCACCAGTTCACACCTAGTAACAAAAATAATAATAAAGTCAGCACACTGACCGTAGAAACAGCACATGGAGTGTTTGAGGTACTCTCCATGAGACGACCCATTTCATCTTCACAAAAGATGAAATTTTCTTTCGTAAGCCCTCTGAGACAGATTCTATTCTACCCGCATTCTCCAGAGGTGAGAAAGGAGACACAGGGAGGTTGACAAACTTGCCAAGGTCTCACGTGGCTTAGCAGCAGGGCAACTAGGATCAGAAGCCAAGTAATCTACCTCCGAAATCTCTGCTAATACCATGCAGTACAGAAAAGACACGCAATAAACATTTGAGCGATGGATGGAGGGGTGGATGGGCAAGTGGACAAATTGATGGGAGCTCAAATATATTAATTTCCAAATCCTTTCCTGAAGCCTGATGCAAGCAAGTGCCTCGTCAATATCTGCTGAGTTGGTACAAATTAATGTGTGACTGTTCTGCTAAGCAAGCCACTTTGTTCACTAGTATTCCCTAGTGTGGCGAGTGGGGATGGTTCTGACCACTTCAAGGTCATGGACCTTTTTGGGAACTAACAAAAGTGCTGAGCTCTATCCTAAAAAAATACACTGAAACACAAAGCTTGGAGAATGGGGTACACACACAACTTCCAGGACCTCAAAGACTCCCTAAATCTAGACTCCAACAAGAAGTCTAGATGTGTCTGGGTTTGAATATGGCTCTTCCACTTCATATCTGTGGGACACCAGCATTTCAGGCTAATTTTCACCATCTCTGAGTCAGAGTTAGAATACTTCCTCCACTGGATGGTGAAGAATTAAATGCGATGAGACATCTTCAAGGGCACCAGTCAGTCTCGTGGCAGACCCGATATATAATAACACACGCACAGGTGTTTCTTTCAGGGGAAGCAGAACTGAGGAATTTCTACCCAAGTGTAAACCTCAACCCAGATTCATCCTTAAGCTGGATTTATACCCTCTAACTGGAGATTGTCTTTCCTGTCTTCCAATTGCTTTCTAATCAATAAGAGTTAAGAAATATTTCTGTCTTTAAGGGGGTTGGTGAAGAAAAATAAAATACTGGGACAACCTTCCACTCACTGTGATGTCCTTCCACATAAGGGCAGGACACAGACTCAGTGATGGGAGGGAATAATAGCTTTTACTGATTGAGCACTTACTAGGTGACCTGACTCTAATCTCATAATTCCTCCATGTGGCTCCTGCTGGGGAAGTGACCCACCCAAGGTCATGCAGCTGGGAAGGATAGAGGCTGGCGTCAAAGCCAGGGCTGACTGACTCTGTCTGCCACACTTGCTTCAGGCTCTCTAGATTTCCAATATCCAATGCCACTTACCTAGTCAGTCAACAGGTGTTCATGGGGCCCTACCAAGTGCCAGACCTGTGCCAGCTGCTAGAGATGGAGTGGTCAAAGATGGTCATAGCCCTGCTCTTGGTACACATCCTTGGCCCCTGTCCATTCTCCCCTGAGCAGTGAGGACAGATGCTGACCTGTGATCAGGAGGTGGTCCTCAGAGAGGAAGCTCTAAGTCAGTCACGTCCCACCGTAAATCCTTTGACCTTGGTCTGCGTTACAAAACAGCTCTCCGACCAAGGTACGGAGCCCGGATTCCACCCTACACCTCTATTTGCATCATAGACACTCAAAGATTTGTCCTCAAAAAAGTGAAAAAAGCAGCCACCCTTCCAGATGTCTGTCTACGCCAAGCCAGAGGTTGAAGACATGCAGAAGAGGGTGGCCACACTGTCCACCTTTCCACTGGGCATTCTAATAGACACAGCCACACTCCACTTTGTTGTCCTGGTCACTTCCTCCCTCCATTCTTCCTTCCACCCCCCAGACCCATAAATCTGGATGTTTCCATTGGTGCTGGAATCAGAACCTTCGGGTTTTCCATTTAACCAGGGCGTTGCCCTTTTCAATAATAGCAAGTACAGCTGCAGGGTACCCTTGGCAAGAGGGGGAAAAAAAAAAAAGGCAAGCTAACCATTCCCAAGTTTCTGATCCGCTTCCAGGTTTGTTACAAGTGAAAAAAGGAATAATAGAATAATATGAAAAGGGCTGGAGCCCATTTTGGAAAATCGTAAAATTACACATTCCAGTCTTTAATACCCCGATGATCGGCTGCAGAGTCCGAAGAAGGCTCGATACTGGCTCATTGATGAAAGCGGGTCCCGAGTCTTCTCAAATTCCTCTAGTACCTCACCGCACTGTAAAGACATTCCGAAGCAAGCGTCCAAGCCTCAGGTTGTGATAAATGCTTTGGATGTCATCTTCGTTTCTTTGGGCTATGCTTTGGTTTCTGTCTTTTTCCTGGGAACCACCATAAACGATCCACAGCAAAAGGTCTCTCTCCCTGCCAAGCCATGCTTACCTTCCAGGGTGAGGGGATGAGGGGCTGTGGTCTCGGGTCAAGTCCCAGTTGAGCTGAGCCCACAGCTTGGTCTCAGAAAGGTGTGTGGGAAGAGAGGTCCTGAGCCCAGCTGTGTGCCCGGAGAGCAGGAAAGCTCTTCCGGATTCCGCTCACCCATCACTGCCCAGCGCCGGGGGGATCCTGGTCCCTTGCATTTGTCTGGATGCTATTGATTCTGGGCTAAGTGGCTTTAATGATGAATCCAGAACACGGATTTTTAGGGCACAGAGTTATGTCTCTGGCTCTTGCTGGCTATGTGACCTTGGATGAACCACCGGGACTATTTGAATCTCAGTTTTTGACTGTACATGGCATTACTGAAGGAATTCCATGCAGGAATGGCGTTGTTAATAAGCAGTCTAGCTTGCTTGCACATACAGGAAGTGTTTAAATCTCATCTGTCTAAATATCTGGCGTACTGGCTTTTCCCCCTTAGAAGGCTGGGCAGGTGGCTCGGTGGAGGTCATCCAATACCTGAAGGAATTAGGGTGGATCCCGGAGCTGGGAAACAGCTGCGTTCCCAATTGCTAACCCCATTGAGCAAATATCGCCGCCATCCCACATGGGCCATTTCCCTTCGCAACTGAGTTCGTTCAGCCCGAGCCCCAGAGTAGAGTGGTGAGCAGCCCCTGCCTGGCTGAGTGACCTTCAGCAACTCTAAGGTGGGACTATATCCAGGCTTGACTCACCTAACAGTGTCTTTCAGCTGGACAGCCCAGCCTTGCAGCTTTGATGGAACTCCTGTTCAGATGGGAGGGAGGGAAAGAGGGAAGGACGGAAAAGGGTGGGTGGATTTTAGCTCTTGGCTTAAAGTAGAAAGGACTGGAATGCTATTGTAGGACTATCCTTGATTAGGAAGCAAAATACTCCAGCTCATATCTCACTCAGCCCTTATGTGAAGCCACTGGTTTACTTACTTGCTTACCTGCCTCGCCCAGTGGAACACATTTCATGGGGGCGGGGCTCTGCCACCCTGCTCCTCTCCCGAGCACCAGCACAGTGCCCAGCGCAAAGTAAGTGCCCATCAGTGTAAACCTGATGATGCAGCCCAGATCTGCCCGCACCACACTAACCTCAGCAGCCTAGCCCTCCTAGTCCTCTGCTTGCCCTGCAGAATGGGCAAGGACGTGTCCTCTGGCTCCAAGAGCACGGAGGATCCAATGAAGAAAGTCACATGAAATCGCTCTTAAAGGCACATCACACTGAAAAAATGCACCCTGCAAAATCACTTACTATATTCAATGCTCCTTCCCCTCGCTCCTCTGACTTCCCTTTGAAAACCCAGTGCAGTGAACGGCTTGCCTGAAATCTTTATTTGGGTTGCTAGTGGGGTGGGGGGCTATCAAGGTGGGGGGGGGGGAGGCAGACAAGTGCTCTCCCAGGCCCCGGGGTCCTGGCTGGGTTGAGTGGCAGTGATAAAAGACCGTCCCGGCTCCATCCATCGGGACAGATAGTTTGGAGACAGCTGGGCCCAAACACAAGGAGCCCTCTGGCCCGCCTGGCCCTTTGACATTGCATAGCACGGCCTCCCGGCTCGTTGGAAGGGAGACAGACAATGAGGGGAAGTCAGATAGTGCGGCGGGGCAGGCCGGGGCCAGGGGAAAGCCACCCATGGAGTTATCACTTAATGGGAATCCCAAACTGGAAGGAAACCTCCACTGATTCCTTATCACTTTACAATGGAGGCTGATGATGAATTGCTTTTTGTCCTCTCAGGCAGGCAGGACAGACAGCGCCTGGCTGGAATGTTCCTGTCTCTGGGAGCTTTCCTTTGGGGGCGGAGGGAGGTGAGAAGGGCAGAGGTTTCTGGAAAGGTGAAGGGAGCCCTGCAGGGTGTGTCCCACGCAACCCAGTGTGTAGATCGCAGTGTGGATGGATTGGGGGCGGGGCCGCTTACCAGCTGGGTGACACTGGGCAGGTTACTCCACCTCTCTGAGCCTCAGTTTCTGCACCCGTGAAAAGGGGGTAATTCTTCACCTTCTTATCTCCAGCCTGTCACTGCATCCTGATTCCACCTACATCTTCCGCCCTTCTCCGCACATCCTGGTCTGAGCCACCATCAGCTCACTCCCGAGCCCCTAACCGCCTCGCACCTGAGCTCTGGCGCTCATTCTGGCCCCGCCCATCACAGCCCAGTGACACTTCCAAACAAGCCACGTCCTGTCACGCTCAGTTCAAACCCCTCCAATGGCTGCCCACTGGTGTTCGGATAAAAGCTGAAGTCCTTCAAGGCTCGCAAGGGCTGGCTCCCTGCTGGCCCCTGCCCTCCCCTCACCGAATTCCAGCCTGTCATTCACTCCCCGAGGGGGTGGGCCCATCTTTGTGCCTGACACTCAGTAACACCCTCTTCTCCTACCCAGCTGCTCAGAGCTAAACTCTTCCCTGACCTCCCCCTAGGCTGATACCCCTTCATGGTCATAGCACTTTGTGTATCTCCTTTACGGCACCCGGTTGCCATTTCTCCCAAACAATCATATAATTATGTCATCCTGGTGTCTGATCTCCTGGGACAAGTGAACTGCATCAGGGCGGGACAGTGGCAGCTAACGCTCATTGAGCACTTGCTATGTCAGGTCCTGTTCTGGGCGCTTTATGTGGGGGATCTCATTTCATCCCCTAACAAGCCCACAGGGTGGGTACTATTATTATCCCCATTTTGCAGAAAAGGTAGTTGAGCTCAGAAAGTCAAAGCAACTTGCCCAGGGCTACACAGCGGGAAAGTGTCCGCTATGGCGCTGTCTTGCAATGGACCAGCCACCAACGCCGGCCTCCACCAGAGGCTGACATGCGTTCCCACGGGGATCCCGCCAGATCCCCCCGTGAGTGAGAGTCCACGGCTCCCGTGATCGAAAGCGGGTCACCCACCAGGAATGCACTTATAAAGATGCTGCTATAAATACTGGACCGAAAAAAAGCGCCTTCATTCTTTTCAACTTCTTCCTCCTCTTCTTTCGGTCTGGCCTTAATTTAATAGGCAGAGCTCCCTAATTCAAACCTGCTGAGCTCCTAATCAGCGCGCTTGACCCAATCTCGCTAGCAAACTTGCAGCGGAGGATGCCATTTTGAGGTTGTGGCTGATCAGCAAAGGTGACACCACAGTGCGGTGGTTGGGGGCCCAGGCGCAGTCTGCAGACCTGGTGTGGGTTCAAATTCCGCCTTGGAGAACCGCCAGCCTGTGGTTTTACATTTCTGAGCCTCAGTTTCCCCCCCTGTGCATTGGTTCATAGAAGCACCTCCTTACTAGTGTTACTGAGACGGTCGCTGTCTGGAACCTCGGAAGGGCACCCTTAGGTGTCATAGGAAATAGGGTTTCCGGGCAGGAACCTGCACCGTGAGACATTTCACCCTGCTCATGCCTGAAGATGCAGACATGTCTGCAGGCATCTGGTCTGCAGCCCATCCGGCAGCGGACCTGCTGGGAGTCGGGCCAGGAGGCCTGATGGGTGATATTGTTCAGGCCTTTGAGATCCTATAGCTTGGATGAGCTTCAGGTAAATCCGAACCCCCAGCCTCACCCCAGTCAGCTCCCCAGCCTGGGCTTGGACCAAACACAGCTCTTCCCTCCTTCAAAATGCAAGATGAGTACATGTCACAGAGCCAACCCCATCAGTTTCCCTGTGTAACCCCGGCTCCAGAGAAATCCACCAAAGCATCGTTTGCATTGGTTCTAATGACTGAGGTGTGTGTTTTTAAAGGGCCAAGCGCCGGGCAACAGGCTTCCAAAGGCATCGTGCTGCCTGCTGGGGCTTTGCGATACAACAGCTAATTCGAGGCTGGGGTCCGGGCCTGTGCGAGCGAAACAGTGACTCGGCCCTGCGCTGCGGAGTCAGCCCTGCGCTAACACCAGCCTGACAGCACAACATGGTCACACCAAGCCTAGGATACAGGTCCCGCCTCAGCCCTGTGTGCAGATCTTTTTAAAGGAGGCATAAAAGAGCCCTGGCCTGTTTGGCTCTGTGGTTGGAGCATCGGCCTGTGGACTAAAGGTCATGGGTTCAATTCCCAGTTCAGGGCACATACCTCAGTTGCAGGTTTGAAGCCCGGCCCTGGTCCGGGCAGGTGTGGGAGGCAATCAAGTGGCTACGTCTCTTGCACATTGATGTTTCTCTCTCTCTCCCCACTCCTCTTCACTCTCTCTAAAAATCAATGAGAAAAAAATCCTCAGGTGAGGATTAAAAAAATAAATAAATGAGGCCTATAGAAATTTAGTAACAGGCTTCTAAGCATGAAAATTTGCAGCTGGCAATGGTAAGATTCCTCCCATTGTCTGATTCTGCAAACCATGAGCATTAGCACGAGGCTCCATGGCCCTGTCCCCTGTGTCTGTTTTATCCAGCCTTCGCCTGGGTGAGTGGCCTTCTAGTTACCCCAGCACATGCTTCCTGGAGGGATGCCTGCCACTGACACCATCACAGCTACCACTTCCTGGGCCCTCACAAGGACCGGGTGCTTTAGGAAACAGCGCCATTTACAAAGCAGAAAGCTGGGAGACCTGCCTGGGTCACACAGGAAGCTGGCGGGAGAGGTGAGGCTCCAGCCTGCGTTTCCGTGGCCCCATCGCCTTCCCGTCCTCACTGTCCCGGCTACCAAGCGATGGTTCTAGCACGCTGAGCTCAACCACACCAACACATCATCTGCTTCGATTCTGTCTCAAAATAAACAGGCTACCAGAGATTTCCTTCCTTAATCTAGTCCCTTTGGGCTCAAATGGCTGAGGAAGAGTCACCCATTCTTATTGGACAAAGGACACTCTGAGTGTCTCAGACACCAGCCCGGGACATGGAAAAGGGGATGCAAAGAAGAAGGAAAGTCGGTTGTGCTTTCTTTTGTTCCCTCTGTGCTGGTTTTGGTCTGGAGAGGAAAGGAGAGCTCAGGACCCCCTGGGAGGAAGCCTGGCCCGTGCACTGAGAGGCACACCAGTGAGGCCCATCCCAGCAGCACGGCGTGCGATGCTCCGGGACGCTGACAGCTGCCTGCCTGTCCGCTAGCTGAGAGGCAACAGAAACCCACTTCCTCCTTCTGAGGCAGCACTTCCGCTTCATCATTTAAAAAAAAAAAAAAACGCGGCAACTCCAGCCTCACACATCTACAACCTATTCTGAAGTTTCAAAAAATGCAACTTGCAAAATACATACAATTGGATATCAACTGCTAAACATAAAAACAAAACTGTTTTTAGTTATGTGTGTGCATGTGTGTAAGTGAGTAAAAAAGATCTGGACCTTTGGAATAAGTGTTCCCCAAGGAAGGGGCTAGAATTGGGGGAAGAACTGTGTGCTAGTATGGTTTTAATTTCTTTTCTTTTAAAAAAAAAAATATATTATTGATTTTTTACAGAGAGGAAGGTAGAGGGATAGAGAGTTAGAAACATCGATGAGAAAGAGACATCGACCAGCTGCCTCCTGCACACCCCCTACTGGGGATGTGCCCACAACCAAGGTACATGCCCTTGACCGGAATCAAACCTGGGACCTTTCAGTCTGCAGGCCGATGCTCTATCCACTAAGTCAAACCAGTTTCGGCTGGTTTTAATTTTTTGCAATCTCTATGTATTAGTATTGTTTGCATTTTTTAAAGAAATAAATGTAGTTGCAGATACTTATTTCCCCCCAAGGAAGGGAAAGAAGTAGAGAAAGAGGCACATCGGGCAGGAGCTGCCCACTCACCTTTCCTTTTGGTGCAATGGTAAATTTGGCCGTGCTCCGGGGGCAGTGGGTATGGATTGGGTGGGGGCAGGAGGTCCTGGGAGGGTCCGGACACACCATTCTCACACTGGTACTGGGACCCCAGGTTGGATGAGGTGGAAAGAGCTCGAGGCTCACTGCTGAAAGGGCTGTGGTTGGAGGCCACTTTCTGTCTCACTGTGCTCCTGGGAACCACAGGATATTCTTTACTGAAAGAGAGAAGATGGGAAATAGCATCGATCAGTGCTCTGCTCCAGCGGGACCCTCCCTCCCCCCACTGGCTGAACTACAGGCCGAAGAACCCACCAGAAAAATCACAATAAGAAACAAAGGGGTCTTTGTTGAGCAAAGTGATCCAATTATACTCAAGTACATCATATGTCTTGGATATACATATTTGGGCACTAACTTTTCATGCCTTCTACAGTAGGCAATTAGGTTTATGAATAGTTCTACCTGTATACAGAGAGGTAAATGGGTCAAGAATGGTAGCTGACCACTAGAATAGTCAGGGATGATCCTAAATTACCCTAATCTGAATAGTTTGCTGCTTCGTGCCTTAGAATTTCCTTTTGAGCTGCAGTACTTGTCACCACTGACTTCATATTTCACTTCTCCATGCCTTCATTTTCGAATGGATAGAATACAGATCCCCAGCTCACAGGGGTGTGGAGAGAAGTGACTTAATACACGTGAAAAACTGAATAATAATGGGCACATGAGTGCTCAACAAATAACAGCCATCATTGTTATTGTCATTGTTAATAGAACTGGCTTCCTGTGCGATCTGTGTGTTTTATTGATGCATTTAATCATATCATTCTGAGAACTGAGCCATGGTGTTCACCAGGATGGCAGGGAGGGCCATGGCACTACACAGGTTCAGCATCCCTTCCCCAGGAGAAGTCTGTATCAGTCAGTCCCAAACGTGGTCGTGCTTTTTATCATGACCCGAACCAACTCTTGTTTAATTGAGTGCATTTTTTAAAATTAAAATTGCATCCAAATAAGTTTAGCCTCACTTTGAGCAATATCTGTGAAATTATGGGCTTGCAATGCTAATTATGGTTCCTGTAATGCTGATAAAATAAATCCTTTCCCATTAAAATTGAAGAGTGCACCTGAAATTCTCCCACGGAAGAAAACACTACACCTAACACATTTCTGAAGGATGCCTCATTGACCCATTTTTTCCTCTCCATGACGGAAGTGGGTGGTGTTCTTGTCCCCATTTTACAGATTAGGAAACTGAGGCCCGGAGAGAGTAAGCAACTTGCCCATGGCCACAGAGCTATAAAGAGAGTACCCGACACCTAACCCAATAGTCCCCTTAATGACTTATAGACAGTCTCCTAATTACTCCTGTCAATATTTAAAACACAATGTTCTGTTAGGGGAGGAGGGGTTGGGAGTTCACCACTCCCACCCCTCAGGGGTGTAACAGTCCACTCTGGGTCCTGCCTTTGTTTGCCATGTGGAAGCACGTCAGAGTGGCCTGGCAGGGACATACAGTGTCTGCCAAGTTTCCATGAGGCTCCAGACACCATCAGGACACCCGAGGGTCTCCGAGCCCAGTTTTCTCGTGGCATGTGCCATCCCCAAACCAAAGCTGGAGCCATCCTGCACAGCCACACCACTCAGAATCTCTCCCTGGGGCCCGCAGGCTGAAAGGAATGAAATTAGCTTTATAGTTCTCTCTTTGCGGCTCCAGCTACGTCATGGAAAATGAAGACGAAGAATTATAATAATAATAATAAAACATAAAACCTGTCAAATCTTGCTGGCAATTCTATTTGGGTCTGCTTAGTAGAAGGACTGGACTGTCGGAGCTCCCCAAGGGAGGGGAATCTCTCTTAGTTTTATGTTCTTAATGGAGATGGGTTTTTCTTAATTAAAGAAAATACCTCCCAAAAATATTGGCTGAGGGAGTTTACAAGAGAATGTATCAATGGGCTCTGAGGAATTCTACATTCTGGCCAAATTGCAAAATTACTGTCTGGGAAGGGCAAGTCCTGCCTTTGATTACTAACACGCACAGAAATGGGAAAGCCATTTCACCCCAATAACCTCTTTCCCTCACAGCTTGCTTCTCGCCAGCGAGCTTGAAACATCCTCCCTACCACCCATCGCTCACATCTCTCAGTGCCTGACATACAATGTCTGCAAGCCCATCTCACAGGTGTCAAAACAGAGGCACAAAGGTGAAGGTGAAGACTTCTCCATCAGTACAAGCCGATAGAGGCAAAGGGACTAAAATGCTGCCACCAAACAACATTTGGGCAGTTTTCCCTGGGCTCATCAATGGGCCAATCAAAGGAACATGATTAGAAGCAATACAGCCAAATCTCTCAAATCCTTGTGATGAGGAGATAAATTATATCCTCCACAGCTTGAGAGCATCACTGAAGAATCCAGGGAACAGAGGATTAAAGTGAAAGTTGAAAAGCCTTGTGTTTCTGGAAAGGAGGGCAGCAACAGAGGGCTGGTGTTTCATCACCATCACCACCACCATCATCATCACATCACCACCACCATCACCACCACCATCACCACCACCACTACCACCATCATCACATCATCATCACCATCATCACCATCACCACCACCACCACCACCATCATCACATCATCATCACCATCATCACCATCACTACCACCATCACCATGATCATCATCATCACCATCATCATCACCACCACCACCACCATCACCATCATTGCCACCATCCTCTTCCTTATCTTCCTCATCATCCATGTTGTTCTGTGTCTGCTAATGTCCCAGGCACTGTACCAGTTGACTTATATACTTTCCCTCATTTGATCCTGACAAGAACTCCCTTTCATCAGTATGATTAGATTTACTTTAGAGCAAGCACATCAAACTCGAGACCGACCTGTGGCCCACATGCGGCCCACAACAAATATTTTTGCAGCCCAGCCAGTATTACAGTGTGTGAGAAACATTTTAATAATTTTGTAACTTAATTTTTGCAATATCCTGTTATACATAATTATTCATAACAAACCACAATGTTCACTAATGATGGATTACTATCATTCATTTCCTTTTTGAGCCTACCCCTTACTCGCAGGCACACCATTTCTCCACTAATACTAGCAGTGAATATTTTAGCAGCTGATTGCCACGTCAATAGTCTTGTATTGATTTGTTTGGTGTGCACAACAGGAACTATTTCGCTTTTGGAGAACAAGAAAAATAGGTTTATTTGCATTACCCTTATTAATTTGTGCAGTTATTCTGTGTCTGGTAAGTTCATGTTCCAGAAAAAATATTTAATCTTTATCAAAATGTTCTATTTTATGTTAACGATGTGACTCGTTTATTTCAGTCCTTTGTATTCAGCATGTCTCTAGTAAAATAAACCCACTTTTCTATAAAAATTGAAGTTTTTGCTTTTTTTTGTGGCCCACATAGACTTAAACCTTGTCTATTTGGCCCTTGATAGCCTCTGAGTTTGACATGCTTGCTTTAGGGTAAAGAGATTAAGCTGCAGAGATGTGCAGCAGCTTGCCCCAGATGACACAGCTAAGAAGAGGTAAAGCTGCGCTCCAGCCGGGGCAGTTATTCTAAAGGTCTTCACACCCACCTCATGGGCAACACGGCCATCCTGTGATAGACTTCCTGGTGATACCAGAGTTGGGGATTGGCTACACCCGGGCAATGTCAGGTTATCCCGGCCAATCTGCTGGTCCTACTGTGTCAGGAACTAGTAGTTTACCGTCAAATCCCACTGCTCTCTGCTGTATCAACAGCTGCGCCTACATCCTGCCAACTCGCTCTGCCTAATCTGGGCTCCCAGGACACCCGCCGAGAGTCCTGAGCACCTCTTTTCACTCTGGGTGTCGAGCCCGCAGACCAGCCTCTCCCGGGCTCTCACATTCTGTTCCACGTGAGCGAGTGCAATGAATGACGCCATTGTTGCCAGGTCTGGGTTGTAAAACGTTACAAGGGAATATTGAGAGCCAGGGCCAAGCTGCACCCACAGCGTGCCGCCAGCTAACGAACGCCCCTAAGAACCTTTTCCACCGCAGCGTCTGAATTGGCCCTTTCACTGCAGCAGGTGGCCGCTGCTGGCGAGCGCGGGGCCGGTGGTGCTGTGCCCTGCGCTGCTTACTCAGTGTCTGGCAGCCTTTCTCAAACAAGCAGTGCAGCGGGAAGGCCAGCGACTGTGGCATTCCTGTTCTGGGGGGAGCCGGATTCCTCGGGCCAGCACTCGGACTGCGATTAAAAGGGCCCACAAGCCCGCCACAGCTGTCGCGATTTATTAACTCTCCTGCACTTGGGGAAGTTATTCTGATGTAATGTGTGGACATGGGAGGAACGGGATGGTTCACCAGGTGGGACTTAGCTCAGTGCTGATAATGATCACACTCTCCTTCCCGTCTACGTTTATTCTGTTACTTGGTTCTCAGTAGGTTTGGGATTCAGCCCCCGGTTGGGGTGTGTACCAGAGGCAATGGATCAATGTTTTTCTCTCTCACATCAATGTCTCTCTCTCTCTCTCTCTCTCTCTCTCTCTCTCTCTCTCTCTTTCTCTCTCTCTCTCTCTCCCTCTCTCTCTCTTCCTTCCTCCCTCTCTTCCTTCCTCTCTCTAAAATCAACAAAAACATATTCTTAGCTGAGGAAGAAAAAAAAGAAAGGCTTGGCATATATTTGGGACACACTGCTCAATAAACACCACCTTATAAATCACACATTACTGTATTTTGAAGCAGTTCTTATCTTGCAAGGGCTTTGAATGGTCTATGAACAGCCCTCCTCCCCCATTTATCAGACATTTAGGGCTCAGGGCTTAGAGTGGGGAGGGGCTGAGATGAGGGAAATCTCTCCAGGGGAGTGGGTTTCAAACTTGACTGCATACCTGTAATCTCCTGGGATATTTTTTTTTAATACCAACTCCTGAGCCTGCCCCCAGAGACTCTGATCTTTGCCTTCTGCAGTGCAACCATGATATCAGGTGTTCCCAAAAAAATAGCAGCCTTGTGCCAGTTACACTGAACCCTACAACGTGAAAGAGCCTCAGAACCCTGGCTGCTTCTGCGGGGAGGCAGAAGCGGGCATTCCCTGGGATGGGGCGTGAGAGAAGTTCAGGGGTGTAGGGGTGCTGTCTGATGACGGAGGCTTGGGGGTATAGGCACAAGTATGTGCACTTGTCAGACGGGAATGGTGCACGTGAGGTTTTTGCAGTT